TACTGGATCAGATTTGGTTGGTAATATTTTCACTTGATTTGTGTATTTCCCTCTTTTCCATGCTCTAGACCACAGGACAGCAAACCAGAGCCCACGGGCTGGCCCACTGTGAGCATAAAGAAAGTTTAACCGGAATGTCCATCCCTTTACATGCTCTTTGCGGCTATGACATTGTAACAGTGAGCCGAGTGGTTCTGAAAGAGGCTATAGGGCCCACAACGCCTAACATATTTACTATCTGGTCCTCTAAAAAGGGATGGCCCCCACTCTAGATATTTCCTGACCAACACAGGAGCCACCCGTGGCTCTTGAAAGGGAAGTTAGTTTAAATCACGCAGAATTAAACGTTCAGTTCCTCAGTTGCACCAACCATATTGCACTCAGTACCACATGTAGCCGGTGACTTTGGGGGATGCAGCCGTGTTCTAGACTAGCCCAAGGGACAAGGCACTTCTCTGTGCTTTGACCACTTGGCACAACTCAGCCATCTGGGTGCAACATCTCTTTTGTAGACTTTTTTGGTTACCTGGTATATTTTGGTGTTTAAAAAATTTTTAGTTTTGAGTCAGTTTTTGGTAGCTTCTATTTTCCTAGGAAGGCATGCATCTCATTACAACTTTACACGGTATCTTTTGATCTCCGCTCCATCTGCTTTCCTTAGGACTGCGTTTGTGTATTTCCCCCCGAATGTCTCAAAGCTGACCTCTGAGTTCAGTTAATTCTGTATTTATTCCTTATTTAATAATTAAAGCATGTAAGGTTGTGAATTTTTATCCAAATGCAGCTTTGGCAGCATTCCACATGTTCTTAAAATGTAGCATCCTCCTCATTATCTTTGAAATAATCTGTCAACATAAGATTTACTTTCTTATCTCAAAGGTTAGGAGCATTTTAAACATTTCTGATTTGAGGTTTTTACATTGTTTACATTTACTTTCTTGTTTCGCTGCACTATACCGAGTGATTATGACCAATACAATTTTAATAAATATTTATTGAACTTTTTCTTATGGCTTAATATACGACCACTTTCTGGTGGTATTTATGGGCACTGGAAAATAAAAGATTGCTTCTCTTAAGAGCACTGCTGTCCAAAAGAAATAGAAGTCTCATACACAATTTTAAATTTCTTAGCACCCACTTAGTAACTATTAAAAAAGGTAAAAAGAAACAGGAGAATTTTAACATATTTTATTTAATCTAATATATTCAGAATATCATATCAGCATGTAATAGAAAAATTATTAATAAGGTACTTTGCTTTCTTTCAATCTGTGCTAAGTCCTTAAAATTTGGTGTGTATTTTATACACATGCCACGTTTCCATGAGGATCAACCACGTTAAGAGTTCAGTAGCTACCAATGGCCTGTGGCCACTGCACTGGGCTGCACAAAGTTCCGTAAAAATATTTTAATCCACCTCATTACTTTTTGCAGATTGCTAATATCCATGGATGTCCTACTCTTACAGAAAATACTATAGTGTGGACAGTAATGTCTGCTCACGTTTCTACCAGAGTCCACTCTATCTGGCTGCCAGTTCATAACAGTTTGTAATATTACCTTCTCGTTGTAAAGTGTACCTCTTAAGAATGGCTTTCCTAATCACAGACATAACATCCAGGAGCCTAGGTTTCAAAAAAATAAAAAGCCTGGTAGATTTTCTATAAAAATGACCAAATGTTTTTATGTGGAAAAAAGATACCACAAAGCAAGAAGCCACTTAAGTGCTCGATCGAGGTCAGTCTGTCCAGCTCTTTATCTTGTTAACTCATTTATCTTCACAACCCTGGGATGCAGGTACTAGGATGATCCCAGTTTTACAGATAAGGAAACAAAAGCAAAGAGAGGTTTAGTAACTTGCCCAAGGTCACACAGCTAAGAAGCAGCCGAACTGAGACTCAAACCCATACATCACTTCTCCTATACTACGGGATGGAAGAAAACATTTTAAACATATTAAAAGAATGTAAAAGCCAGAATGTATAAAAAGCTGCCATCCATCATGAAGAAAAATATAAACAACCCAACAGAAAAAAGGGCAAAGGATAAGAACAGGCAATTCATAGACAAGTGGAAACAGCATATGAAAAGATGCTCAATTTACAAGTCAGCAAGGACAGGCAGGTTAAAATGAGATAGGATTTTTCATCCAACAGATGGGCTGATGGGAGCAAACATCATGAAGTCTGCTAACAGGGCTGGGAGGCTGGGTGAAATGGCGTCTCTCCCACCCCGTAGTAGCATGACATGTGTCCTGCCTTTTTGAATGGCAACTTGGCAGTGTCCACCACTACTTATTTTTTTGAGAGAACGAGAGAGAGCGCATGCACGAATGGGAGGGGCAGAGGGAGAGAATCTCAAGCCTTCGCCACACTGAGCATGGAGCCCTAAGTGGGGCTCGATCTCACGACCCTTAGATCATGACCTGAGCCGAAACCAAGAGTCGGACGCCCAACTGACGGCACCACCCAGGCGTCCCTGTCCACCACTTAAACTGCACTTCTCTCCTGACCAGCCACAGTTTCCCTGCTTTACAAATCCCAGCTCACAAGTCCCCAGGGATGTCAAGTGGGCACACCGAAGCTCCCCCTAATCAGCGTCCCCACATGGCCACTTGCTGAGTCAATGGCACGGTTTCCCTGCGAAGTTGAGCGGGATCCACTGAGTGCTCTGGGCAGCAGGCTACTCTCCAGGTCAGCTGCATGCTTCTTCTCCTCCCCCGCCCCACCGCGGGAGCCCCCGGTGTTCGTCCTTGCTCTCACTCAAGCCAGTGGCACTCAGGACACAGGCAGTTCTCACTAAGCTAAAACTAAAACTAAGCTGAGGCTCTACGTTGCTAAAAACCAAAACCAAAATCAAACTGCTGTTGAACAGAACAAATGTAAATATGGGGGGAAGCCTTATAAAGATCTGTAAGGATTTTGCACCTAAGAGTCTTCTTAAATGTATGAACCCCAAAACCAGATGGTGCATTATGACTATCCTTTATCAGGAGAGAGAAGCCAGACACAGCCCGTCCTCCGGTGAGAAGCCAGGAGCCAAGGCCAGCACGTGTTTGTGCTGCATTTTTTTAAACAATGAAAATCTATTAATGAGTAGCTTATTTAACTTTAAAACATTTAAAAATACAGCGATACCTTTATCAATGTGAAGGATACCTTGAATAACACAAAATGACCCGTTTCCTTTGTTAACTTATCCCAGATTCCACGCTGTCCCACAATATAATGGGTCTAGATTTCCAATCAATTGGAGGAGTTCTGTCTTTCCATGGAGGATGTAAGCAATTTACACTCACTGTAACTGATACGTTTGCTATTGACTCTGCCCCCTTATTTTATGCTATTTTGGGGGGCTTTTTTTTTTTTTTACTGTTTGCTTTTACTACAAAGGCCCCCTTCCCTCTCTGCTTTTAGCTTTGCTTATGTCACAGAAGGCTTATATCATGTTTTAAGTTCTACTAGGGTTTATCTCCAAGCTTTCTAAAGGACTTAGAATCTTTACTTCTCTAATTATCAAGGTAAAAAAGAAGTATTCCCCCAGAAACCGGTCTTTTTTCCTTGTTCTGGGGGCGAAAAAAAAGGCCCCGTGGTGGTGATACTGTGTGAAGGAAGCCAAGTACAAAACAGTATTGCATAATTCCTTTTATATGGAAGTCAAAGTTAGGGACGGTGGCCCTATCAGTGGCTGGGGGAGCCCCAAGGTAGGAGGGATGGACAACTGCAGGGGGATTTCTCCACGTGTTCTGGCACCTTCCACGTGCTTGCCTCAGTGGAGATATCCCCCACATGTGTCTTCATTTCTGATTGGGGGCAAGGGGCATCTTTATGTCTCCTCCAGTGTTTTTGTAGACGCCGCATTGGGAACAGGTGACTACACGTTGTTTACATCAGATGTTTCATTAGAAACTCCTGACACAGCCATTTACAAATCCCTGCTCACAAGTCCCCAGGGATGTCAAGTTGCAACCGATCCCGCCTGATCCTCCCAGACACAAATCCAGCCTCCCCAAGCCTCCCCCAGCAGCCAGCGAGCGCACCCTGGTCAGCAGTATCCTCAGTCCTGGTCATGAGCGGTGCGCAGGTTACTTTGCCTTTTAAATACACGAGAGGAGCAAATGTTTCTCCAGACTCCAGTGCGGGAGGGAGGGGCGGGGGTTAAAGTGAGGCAGACATCTGGGGCTAGAACAAGTTCAGAACAGGTCTGAAGGGGCGTGTGAATATGGGGGACAGGACACGGATGAGGACATTGCACTGAACCAAATCTCTTCCTTTCCCCCTCTATCTCCACTTTTGAAATTTCACGGTGAACACACGTGTGCACAATCACCATTCCTCCCCACCGTTCTCTCCCCTTGCCCTTGATCGGCCGCGCTCCCGTCCCTCTAGACCGCCAGCTTTCTCTCTCCACCTTCGCTCCACTGAAATGCACACGCAGATTTCTTAGCCCCGTGTTTCCGCATGTCCGTGACTGTAACTTTCTCATGGATCACTTCTCCCGCTAGCAATACACCGTTAGGCAACCCAGTGCTCTTGCCTCGGCCTAGCTGACGGGCAAGGTCTGCCTGGACCATCAAGAGGAGCCGGGAGGGCAGAGCCCTCCATTTCGGCACCATTTCAGCAGGGTTCATGGGACTCCGGAATACAGCGGTGGACGTGAACCTCAGGGGACTGACTTCCTTCACAGGCTCAGTGAGCTGGGTGTCACCGAGGGCACCAGGCTCACGTGTGCCCGGGGATACCCGACAGTCGCTCTCTCCTGATACAGCGACGCCCAAACACGCACGACTGGGCTGAGCTCTCCTACAAGGTAACGAGCTATTTTTGGTTGCCTGTGAAATACTGTGAATTTCCCTGCCTGTTCTGGATGGCTAAACCCTGCCAGGGATTCTGGCGAGCCGGCGGGGGCGCCTCCCTCACGCAGAAAGCCTCAGCCGAACCGGTTAAAACACCTGTACATTCTGAACGGAGCTCCCACCCCCTGGGGTGGCCCTTTACCTCCTGCAGTTTGATCTCCTCGGGCTGGAGGATTTCCAGCACCCCGCTGCTCTGGATCTCCGGGAGGTCCTGCCAGAGGTTAAATCTCGAGTGGGGGTTACTGAGTAGGCAGATCTGGGGCAGAGCCTTCCTCTCAGGTGGGCTTGCTTTCTCGTCGTCGTCGTCGTCCTCCTCCTCCTCCTCCTCTTCTGGAGTCTCCTCGCTGACCGGGGAGCTGTGGGCATTGGTGTGTATCTCTGCATCCTGCTGCCTCCTGGTTTCAATTTCTTGGAGTGTTGATTTATCTCGGTATTCCTGATACAGGAGCCCTGAAATCAAATAGAGTTGTAATGAAGAAAAGGGAAAGATTTCAGAGGAAGATCTTTCCCAATCACTAGGTCAAGACTTGGTCCTCTCATCAAGGGCAGATGCTGTGCCCAGGAGAACAGAAAGAAAGCCAGCCCGCCTGCGCCTGTCCCCACAAAGGGCTCTACCCGGCCCAATGAATGTCTTCATTCCTTGGGAATGATCAGCATATGGAAGTTCTTTCCAACAAATAAATAAATCCCTGAACGCATCCAGAATCCAGTCACACAAATATATGCTTTCCGCACACACTTGGCAAACGAGTCTAGAACTTGATGTGTTAACAACCAGTGTGCATAGTTGATGGAAATGTCCCGATTATGTTTCAATATCCCAACAGTATGCTTTCCCTAGCCTTAAATGCTTCAATATTAAAACTCAAGTATGTTCATTTGTGAAATGGGAGTAGTTGTAAATTCTCATTTTTGAAGGAAAAACCAATAGTTCATCAACCTTATGATTCAAAAAGGAAACATTCCTTTTTTGCTTTTACAGTTTCAAACTTACTTCCCTGACCAATTGTACTTAAAATAAATGCATTCTAAGTCTTGGGGGCACATATGAATCAGCACAAATGTAGCATCTCCGGGGGGGGGGACCCATTTCAGACATCCGGTTTTGGGGTGGAGGGACTGTCTTTTTACAGTAGGAAAGCCTCAGGGGAAAAGGGGGGTCCTGGCCCCAGGCAGTGGGAGAAGGGGAGTAGGGGAGGAGTGGAGGGGGTCAGACCGCTAAGGTCTTGTCTGCCTGCCATGCCATGGAAGTGGCAGTCTATTCCGTGGGCAAGAGGGAGGCCCCGAGAGACCTTAGGCAAGCAACTCTGGTCTCCATCTTTGGGTGGGTGTGGATAGGAAGAGAGAGGCTGTGTTAATTCCCCAAGGGGGTGATGATGGAGGCCTGAACTGCAAGGGCGGGGGAGGGATGGAACCACGTGCCTGGTTCAGGGAACAGGGTTAAGGTAGAAGATGGGTCCTGGGGACTGCCTGGTGCTGGGGGGCGGGGGTAGCAGAGAGATCCAGGTGCTTCAGAGGGGCTCCCAGCTAGAGAGGTCCAGCAGGCAGCTAGCTGAACACACTGGTCTGGACAGCATTCGGGGCCCCTGGACATGTCTACTTATACAACAAAGATAATTTTCCCAGGAAAATTCTAACTGGGATAAATGTACCACTTGTAAAGCACTCTCTCTTACAATGCAGACAAACGTTAGCGATTGTTCCTTTCTGACTGCATTGTTGAAGGTATCTAAACAGGAGACAAAGGAAGGATAGAAAACCTGAATGTGGCCGGATCATGTATATTCATGAACGGGAGCCCCATAAATCTGCCCTGTGGAACTAATTAGTTGGCTTCCTATGCCCCATAACGCCAGATTATAAAGCCTTTACGGTAAGTACAGCATTTACTTTAAAAAATTAAGATCCTGTGATTTTGCAATGTTACAATCCAGCAGAATACAACAGGAAGGCAATCTGACAAAGGAACGAGAAAGAGAAAAGCGAAGTCTCTGTTCAATGCAATCCGGACTGAAGATCTATAAAGACAGAAGTTTAACGCCACTGCATTCACCACGACCAGTCATGAGCATAAGACGTAACTGTTGTGCTGACCTTGAACCAACTGTTCTCCTGTGATTCTGATGCACGGTGTTTACAGAGGTTTAAAGAAACCAAGTTTCCACGAGTTGACTTGGATTCACTTTTCAGTGCGAATGAGCCTCCCACCCAGCAGGTACTCAAATATCTGTTGCATTGAACCCCTTTTAAAAATGCAGCTTTGGGGCGCCTGGCTGGCTCAGTCTGCAGAGCATCAGACTCTCGATCTCAGGGTTGTGTGTTCGAGCCCCACACTGGGTGTGGAGCCTACTTTAGGAAAAAAATGCAGTGTCGAAGCTTCGCCGAAGTGTCTAATTTGGCATCTTTTTGACAGTTCAGAAATATGTCTTGTACATGCTATCGTGGGCACATATGGGTAAGTACTATCTCCAGCGTCTCAGTGTTATACATATGGTGAAAAGAGACGGAAATATCAGCGTTGTGGGTAGCCGGGCTGGAAATATTAATTCTGAAATCACATTGTGGCAGACACTGTTGGCTGTCTCTCCTGTATCCCTCACACCCCAGGTTCCCAGCTAGCAGGGGAGGGGTGTCCTCTGGGGGCTGACCCATTCGGTGCTCAGGGAAGTGGGTGAACGTTGACTGATCAAAACCCACTGTGACGTTATATAGTACACGTGAAGCTACTGTTACACTGTATGTTAACTGGAATTAAAATAAAAAATTAAAATAAAAAAAACTTTCTCCGGAGGGAAAACAAAAAGCAACAAAACAGAACAAAATAAACAAACAAAAAAGAAAATATTCTTTAGGGAGCTCTCAGTTGTCTCAGTGGTATAATGGCTTAGCCTTAGGGATTCCCTTGACAAGAGAAAAATCACAGAAATTAGACTCAAGACTTAGAAAATAAATGTCCACATCTAATGTAAATTTCTCTTAAAATCTGGCCTCATATGCCCTATGAGATTTACAGAGAGCACTCAGTCCTAATCTCTAGGTTCAAAGTGTACAGGTTGCTCATATATATGCTGAAAGCCAGGAAATAAACTTAACAGAAGCACTTGGGAAAAAAACCATACTTCCCTCCCTCTTGCCAGTGGTGGGTTCAGACATGAGCATGACACAACCCGGCCAAGGAAAGTAAGGGGACATTTTACATCCTTGAGAAGGGCTTCCCAGGGCGCCTGGGTGGCTCAGTAGGTTAAGCATCTGACTCTTAGCTCAGGTCTTGAGGGGTTGTGAGTTCAAGCCCCACGTGGGGCTCCATGCTGGGCGTGGAGCCTACTTAAAAAAAAAAGAGAGCGAAGGGCTTCCCAAAAAGATGTCCCTCCTCAGCAGACACCTGAAGAAAAACTTTTCTTTTTTGCATTTACATGCGGCTGCTTGGGGAATGCCATGCCTGGAGCTGTGGCAGCTATTTTGTGACATGAAGCACAAATGCCGAGAATGGTGGAGGGAAAGGCGCTGGGTAACTGCTTGGCTGAATGAACCAAATTCCAGAATTTTCTACCTCTAAATGAGAAAAAATACTGCCATTGTTTACAGTCATTTTTTGCTGGATATTGTTACTTTTAGCCAAGGACTCCCAACACAAGTAACTTTAGAATTTTCTTAAAACTCTTACTTCTTTCTGAAGTATTTAGAATATGAATTTAAATACCAGTTTTCCTGGAATTACTATGACTACAAAAAGTTATTTGACACATTGTGTAACCATTTTTCAATGCCTGTTTATTTTTATTGGTCTTAAAGTCAGACTAATAGCATAGCTTTACCTAAGGAGCTACATGTTAACTGATTAAATTTCTGTATTCATTGTTCTCTTAATATGTTTTCCTATCTTGTATTTTGTACAGTCAGCAAGCACAACTTTATATGAAAATGAACTTTACTGGTAAAATCTTGCAGCTGGTATAGTATATTCGTGCAGATATACAAGACCCAGTTCCCACCTTCCCTACTTCAAATGTTTTGTACCAGGCTGGCTGCGCTGCCCTACAAAAGAGGGTAAGTCCCCAGCTCCTCTTGCCAAAGCCCCTGGAGTCATTCAAAAATCTCACTTTCTGAAGAGAGTCATTTTTTTCTTTGAATCACTCAAACACAAACTTCTAAAGGGCGGGGGGTTCATTTATTTTTTAGCAAGCGCCTTCTATGTGCCAAGCATTTGTCAGGTCAGAGACAGCAGCAGTGGGCACGGGCACGCGAAACCAAGGGCCGGGGCTCAGGGGCTGTGATCTGTAATGACAGCTGCGCACCGTATCGTGCACAGTCCCGGAGGAATTCCGTTCCGCCCTCCATGGGAGACACCGCAGACTCGAACATGGGGTCTGCAAATATGCCCATACGCGTTTCCTACTTTCTTCCCTGCTTCATTTTACTGTGGTTGTAGGAGTCGGTCCTTTCCGGATAACCTGGCAAAGGATTCACCTCCTTCCTAGAGCTAAAAGCAGGGAGGGCTGTTGTAGGACTCTGCTTAGCACAGCCCCCAAGTCCGTGATGAGGGAAGTGAGAAGGTGCTGACAGCTCCGGGCTGTCATCCGTCCGTCACAGCTGGTGAGCAACTACTATGGATCCAGCCCAGGAGCCAGGAAAAGATATTCACCAATTATACCAGCAGATACTGGAAGCGGGCAGTGGGAGAAAAGCCTGAGAATGTCAGTCTCTACACTTTGCCAGACGAGGGATGGGGGGGCCAGCAGGGGTGCGGGCCAGAGCCCAGCTTCAAGCCTGTGCCACTCGCCTAACAGGACCAGCTGCCTCCAGGACAGGTGTCTCCACACGCCCCGATGCAGAGGAGAGCCTCCCTCTCTGGGCAAGGAGGCACGGAGCTCTCCACCCCCACTCTATGTCCTTCCCAGTTACGACACGGATGTGAGCCGCGGGGGATCCCTTCCAAGAGGGTGGAAGTCAAGGTTTTCAGCGTCTGGCAAGGCAGAGGGGGTTGTCCTCACCACAAAGGACAGTGTGGCAGAGAGGTGGGAGAAAAAGGTTTGGAGGAGTCTTTGTCTTCAGCTCAACCCCCCTCCGTTCCCCCAGCAAATAAAGGGCGAATCTGCCACCATCACGGCGACCAGCCAGCCTGACGCCAACCAAATTCCCGGAGTCAGCGCTTCGCACAGCACAGCGAAGCGCCTCCGCCCCCTCAGCTGTGCCCGGCTCGGCTCCTGTCTGGCTTCGGTCTGGAAAAACCCTCCCAGGGGAGAGGGGGCTGGCCCCAGAAGTCTCCGGAAGGCAGGGTCTCCTGGGGCAACAGAAGCTCTACTTCCACTTCGCATCTATCTGAACGTCTGGGATGGAGGACGATGGCGATGTATTTAGGGAAGCGACTTTCCAAACCTAGAATTTTAACTTAACAGATAAACCGTCTGCTACACTGACAACACTTTAGAACGAAAAGCTTTTCTCAGCAGCTGGTACCATTTCCCAGGGAATGGAACCCACATGACCCATTCACTACCACCTCTAGTGACTGTGATGGGAACTAGCTGGATGTCATTAGCAATTTTTGACTTTTAAATCCAAGTGCTCGGGTTCTTGGGACACCTTCTCAATCCGCTGTCTGCATTCATACAGTACGGGAGCCGCAGTGGCGGGGAAGGTGCGCACACAGGCTGCGCCCCACACCTCCGGCCACGTTCCTGGAAAAGCCGGGGAAACCAGGCTTGCCTTCCTAACCCAGGGGCCTCTGGGGCGCCCACTTTCTCTCCACTTTCCCCTGTGCCAAGTCCCCCATGCCTCTTCTTGCCGAGCCTGGGTCTCTGCAGAAACCATTCTCAGACTTTGCTGTCTCTGCAGGTCTTCCCAGGGCCCCTGGGGTGGGGGGGGGGGCGCTCAGGCAGCACCCCCTCCTGCAAGGCCCAGCAGCACCTCACCCCTGGTCTTTCTGGCAAAAAGGACAAGGGGACAGAGGGCCCTTCCCCAGGAAGGGGCTGGGCAGGTACACCTCTTGGGAGAGCAGGACAGAAATCCATTTGCTGAAGCCCAATTATATAGCACTATTGAAATGTGGTGGTTTTGCCGATGGAACCATTTAGAGCCAAATATGTCAAAAACGTTCCTTAGTCACATCAGATACCTTTGCTCACCGAGATGCAACGACATCTCAGGAGCAGGGGGACCCTCAGAGTCCGCCAGAAACCCGCCTTTCCCCAGCGAAGCCCGGCTGCCGCCAGGGACACCCACCTATTTGTTCGATGAGGTTTCTCCAGGAGTCGGCGGGAATGGGGTGGATCATCTGCAGGGCCTCGGTGAGCGTGGTGGGGCTGTCGACGAGGGCCGGGCACTCCTCGGGTGTGGCCCCATTTCCTGGGGTGGAGGACGACTCGCTGCCAGAGAGAAGGAGGGGCAGGGCCTGTTATTTTTAAGCAATGACACACCTTGGCCAGCTCGCGAGTGGCGTCCGCACAAGGGGCCCTGGCCAACTGGACCCTATCCGGGACGGTCCAGGCCGAGCGGCCGTGGCCCCTCCGGGCCAGGCGGGCCCCACAGGCCCTTTTTGTCACCTCACCAGGGAGCGACCGGGTGATTCATTCCCACACCAGCCCGCCCGAAACCTTCATGTTTTCGGAGCTCGCGGGCAGGCGTCGGAAACTTGGCGCGCCCTGCCTGCTCCGCGGCGCCGACCGGCCGCCCCGACGGGTCCGGCGGCCGAGATCCCAGCCGGCGCTGCTCACCCCGCGCCGTTCGATGTCACACGACCCCCGGCCCCCGACTCCCTTCGGGCTCCGATCCTCGCGTCCCAGGGCCACG